ACTAATTAACTCAGACCAGGCTGATTTGGCAGAAGGCCAAGGCCATTTCCACCCTGAGGTAGTCCCTTGACTTATAGCTTACCAAAGAGGACCCACTGGACAAGATTCCCGAAGTGGTTTTGCATGCCTTGATCTTTGGTTGACCAACCTGAAATACTTTAAAAGGGATCAGGTTTCCAAACAATAAATTCTCAGACTTTTCTGAAAATTAAGCCCCTTGAAGTCATCTCCTGTAAGAAACCCAAATTACTAGCCTTACTGAAAATCTTTGCCAGCAAGTCTAAAGAAGCAAATCATTTCATCATTGCTACTCCTTGAAATAGATTCATTCACAGAGCTCTTCTATAGTAAGTCACACTATTGCAAAGAGCTAGCCCAAGGTGCTACAACCTCTTTAAAACCCATGTTAAGGAGATTATAGTCCAGATCTTCACCTGATGCAAATGAGCATAGCCTCAGCTATTCTAAGGGAGCTATAGTGGTTCACTCTAGCTAGGGGTCTGGTCCCTTGACTAGGATGGAGCTGTGCCACTTTGTTCATCTGTCATTTAAAAAAAATCTAAGAGTTTAGTGCTCAAGTTTGACATGATCTGAAAAGTGCGTGGGAAAGTGGCCCCTTCCTCATGTCTTTGCATTGGTCTTGTCCTCTAGGCCCTGCACAGCCAGATGCAGGCTGGCCATAGTTCTGTTCTGATTCCCCCATTACAAACACAATTGCCAACTCCTTTCTAGCTCTATAATCCTGATGCCTGGTGACAGCAATTACACTGAAGGCTGGAAAAGCCAATCCCACTTGGAGTCAGGGGCCCAGCACTGCAACATGTGTAGATCCCCCTAGTGACTTCAACAGGAAACTATTTGATAGGCCTTTTGCTGACCCTTGATCAAAATAGCCTCTGATCAGCAGGTGAATCAGACCATGTGAGATGCTTGGAACACTCCCTGTAGCATGCATTGATCAGGATCAGTGTCCTTCTCTGCCAGTCCAATCTCTTTCAAAGTGGTGTAGAGCCTTCTGGAGGCCCTTGCCTGCCCCTGCTGACTTTCTTCAAACTGGCTTCAAGCCATTCCTTTGTCTTGCTGCCCACTCCCTCTGGACAGCCCCATAATTTCCCATTAAAAGCTCTGAAGAATCCCTCTCCCTCCCTCCCCTGCCCCTCGCTGTATGCCCTGCCATCCATCTTAATTAGCACAGAATGACTCTAAGAAGAAAATTAACTTCTCTGTACCCTGGTCTACTTTCAGTTGACCACAAGACAGCATATGCTGAAAGCACTCATGTTGCTGCCATCTCACATCTAATGTTTTTGAACAAGCTACAGTTGAGTTCACCTTTTAATGGGAATTTTGCTTTGGTGTTAATATCTCTGGGTCCACGTGGGGAGAAAACAGGGAGATTTGAACTTAGGATCTTCAGCCCTAAGAATATAAGCAGCTACCTCTGCCAACTCTGACAGTCACGTCAACTCTCTGTGCTTCTATCTCTGTCTGCCTTGTCTGTTTATAGTGAGGGCTCTTTGGAACAGAACCAGTCTCTTGCCATGCGCTCATAGAACACATCCAGACAAATGTGGTTGTGCGGTATGCGGCAGCACCATAGACCGCATGGTCCAGTGTTCTCTGTGCTGCAAGAGCCGGCTGCCCAAGCATGCAGTGCTCCATATTTTTTTCTGCAGTGTTTTTTGACCCCTGGATATCCAGGGGTAAAAATAAAAAAACACAGAAAAAATTTACAAACGGAGTAGCACACGCTCAGGCAGCATGCACTGCTGAAAAGTGGAGCAGAGCCGTGCTGCAGCTGCCAGCTGGGCTGCACCCAGCAAGATCGCCATGGCTGCAGGACCCCAGGTAAGGCTGCTAGGGCCAACACAGTGCTGGCCCCAGCCTCTGTTACCTCACCCAGGGTAACTTGCTGCATGCCAAAGTGCACATAGCTTGGGCATTCCCCAGGGACAAGTAGCAGCGGCACAAGGTGCACTGCTGCTACTTGTCCTCAGGGAACCAAATGTCCATGCATGTGTGCTTGCAGCAGCTCGAATAGGAGCAGCACAAATTTGTGCCAGAGATTTTTGCCTCAGCACACGTGCCTGAACATGCACTGTGGGGCAAGTTGTGCCACTTGGGGCAAACTGACCCTTCCCAGCTCCTCCCACATCTGCAGCCAGGGGGACCTGAGGGCTGGGGCCAGCACCTGTGCTGGCTCCAGCAGTATAAAAAGCTGCCCTGGCTAGCAGCTCAGGGCTAGTTGCTCTTGGGAGCTTCTGAGACCCAGCCAGTTGACATATGAGGACACTAGCCTGCCCATGCCAGCTGGACTGCAGCAGCAGCCTTGACCTACAGTGGCCCCTGTACCCTCTACCCACTGCAGCAGTATGGCAGTGGGGGCTGCTGCCTGGCTGCAGCCTGCTGCCACCTGTGACAGCATCTGCCCCCTTGGCGCTGCAGCCCCATATCCGCACACCTGCCAGACCTGGATGGGGACCTCAAGGCCACCTGGGCTGTGGCATGGGCACTGTAGCAGAGCCATCTGCACCTCTGAGCCAGCTGCTAGTGGGCCATGGCTGTGCAGTTGGCCTTTGTGTGGCACTGCTGCCATGTATACCCCCACCCTGCCATCTGGGCAACTATCACCTGGAAGATGTCCGCAGTGTGGTGGCCTGCTTTGAACTGTCAAAGCATGTCCTCCTGGCCCTGAGCAGGCTCCTCTGCCTGGATCCTGCCACTTGCCTCACTAGCAGGAATCCTGGTGTTCTCTATTTAAACCTGCAAATTCTCTGATAAAAAAAATCCCAAATTCACTCATTAAAAACCCCCAAAATCCATGTTCTTCCACAATTAAAACAAAAGACCACTCACTCTCTCTCTATATATATATATCTATATCTATATATAACCATACAGAGAGACAGAGAGAGAGAGAGAGAGATCAGTTGGGTAATGTTTTATTGATATATTTACAATTTTAAAACAATTTGGAAGCCTACCAGTGCCTCTATCTAATAAAATAAATTCTAAATATCTATATGCTTTGATGTTTGTTTTTGGTTTTCTTATCATAGAAAAATCAGAGCTCCCCTGACCCCTTCACTAACCAGGATGTGGGAACAGGTGCCCCTGCAGCCACAGCTCCTGCCAGCAGGTCTTATCCTGTCTGGCAGCTGGGCAAACTGGGTGTGATTGGGGGATGTGGGGTTTGCAGGAGTGGGATGGGAAGGGGTGTGGGTGGGTGTGGGGGGGATGTGGGTAGGTGTGGGGGAATGTGGGGTTTGTGAGGGGATTCAAGGGGGGGCCACCACATGCCCGCCCTCTCCCCCCCCACCACGATGCACAGCCTCCAGCGCTGGCAGCAGCAGCCAACCAGGCCATCAGGGCGGTCATGGCCCACCGTAGGCACAGCCCTGTGGCTGTGCATCACAGCCTGACCCTCAAGGAGAATGGGCCTGGCCCAACCCAACCCAGCCTGGCCTGCCCTGCTAGCACGCATCTTTGGACAGCAGCTGCAGGTGGTGGCAGGAGCCATCCCAGTCCTGTCCAAAGGCACACTAGTGGGGCAGGCCAGGTCAGGGAAGGTTGGGCCTGTGCGCTGCAGGGTGGGGGCAGGCATGTGGGAGCCTCCTGACAGGCCCTACACACCCAACTTCCACACACACCCAACCTCTCCCCGCATACACTCACCCATACACCCCACATCCACAAACCCCACCAGAAACCACACAGCCCCTCCACCCCAGTCCCTGCTTACCTGGGACAGAGCCTCGGTCTGGGTCACACCACAGCCTTGCCCTGCTCCTGTTTGCCCCAGCACACTGAGGCAGAGTGCTGGGGCAGCACGGGTACCATAGAGATGCTCTAGTCAGATGCCAGAGTGTCTCTGGAGGACTCAGTCTCCGGTTGCCTCAGGACACACTACAGGACCATGCCCTGCACCGCTTTTTTCTGGGTGTTTTTTTTTTGATACCTGGAAATCCAGGTATCAAATTTAGAGCCCATGCTGCAATTATGCAGTGCAGGGAACATTTTTTTGTTCTTAGCGTGCCTCTTGCAGCATCTCAAACTGGTTTGAGATGCCACAACAAGCACGTGCGCATTCGTCTGGACGTGCCCATACGGTACTCAGTGAAATAGAGTCATCATTTGAACTATACTGGTATAGGTGAAACAGCACAACTCCACTAGCAGAGACTAAATAATCATTGTGATGTACAGATACTTATACCTATTCTTGTATGCAAAGGCTATTAAAAGATGTATCTCTATGGTGGCATCCAGGTGTTTTTTTCACACAAATAATTGATCTGAAGATCCATCTGTGCCTAACAGCCTTAGGCTAGTATGGCTAAGGCACAGCAGTTTCTGTAGCCAGGGGCACTCAGGGGAGTGACTTGGTCGGCACCACATCCACCACTTTTGACTTCCCAACCTGAATGACCAGGTACCTATGTATGGCTGTCAGCTGGGGGTAGCCCTTGGCACACATCCAACTCACAGCTTGAGCTCACAGCTCTGTAGATGTAGCAAGATGCTTTCACCACTCTTCTATCACCCTACCATTCTGCTAATTAATAAGATCACAGTAAATAATAATAATAGTGGAGCAGAGGGCTAAATGGCATCATTGCCAGCTTCAGCATTTAGGACAACTGACATGGGCCTGGTAAGGAATGAAGTTGTGCTGATCTTAATAAAGAGAGGGGATATGGTGTGACCTATTAGAGTCCCTTTGTTTCTGAGTCACGTGGATTCTCAACCAGCTCTGTTTGGAGAGTGCACTCTTCATTCGGACATTGTCATCAGAGAATAATAGAGGCTCCCCTAAAAATGTTACAGAGAAGGAAAACAGAATGTGTAGTGGAGGTACTTCTGGAAGAAAACAGATCTCAGCATGAACAGCACTAAGAACCAGATGCCAAGGGGGAAGAGGGCAACAGTAGCTGCCTGGAGAGAAGCAGGTTTAATACAAAGCCATGGTTGCCCACCTCATTGTTCTCTTCTCTTTGCAGTGCTTTTTGGTCATGGTGGAGAAGGCAAGATCCCCACAGGTCAGTGCATCTGTCAAAGCTTCTTTTAGGCCATGTTGATCTCTGGTGTGGAATAAAATCCAATTAGGCAGCCGTCAGTTTAATTAGCTTGTCAGCACCAGACATAACAGGCTTAATGCTCTTGGCTACCATATGGGAGACTTGTGTTTGATTCCTGGCCCTGGCATGTTGATGTCTGCAGGATTATTTTGCAATAAGGCCTAGCTAGCCAGTCTATCCACCCCTACTCATGGCCCTCAAAGGGCCCAGGGCCTCCTTGTACTTGAGAAATCTTTGGGGGTGGGGGATTGGCCAAGGAGTCTGGAATCTGATGACTATACACACCCTGCACCACACACAGCACACACATTTTGCCTATGTAAGGGAAGTTCCGCCAAAGTTCCCCACCTTTGCAATTATTAATTCAGTTACACTGGGGTTAGCAGTTTTGGGAGCCTTAACACAGATATACCACTTAGAGGTGTAGTGAGGCAGCCCTGTGCTCAGGGGGAGTTGTGACACACGGAGCAACACAGGCTATTTGAGAGGGCAGAGGGGCGAGGGTGATAGTGTAGTCAGCTGCCACTATGGCAGCAGCTATTTTCCTACCCTGGTTGCACGCCACCCTTTTATTAAGTTGCTGGTACTGCTAGCTGCTCTGGGGGCTTTTAGCATCATGTCTTGACAGGCAGTTGTAATGGACACAGTGCTTCAAACATCAGCAGCAGTGGGGCAAGCCATTTACCCTGGGGCTCTCAATGTCACTAATTTCATGGAGCTGGAAGAGAATTAGCAGTATTTCCTTAGTGTGGACAAGGCTCGACTCACACAGACACAGACACACTTCTATCCACACAAGTGTGCATACACACTCAGACACTCATTGACTTCTACACATTTCTAACACGCAAACACAATAAGCGCCATTTCCTTCCTGCTTTATTTCACAAAACAGCCTCTGACATTTCAGATAGGGCTGGAGCAAAAGGGCCAGAAAGGAGACAGAGTGAGCACACAGGCTGTCCTCACTGCACAAAATACATCTTAGTCACAGTGTGTTAACCATACTGTAATAACAATCCTATTCTAAAATCCTAGGGGAAAAACAGCTCTGTCACTTTTGCCATAGAGTAGTTAAATAAGGTCAACATTTCACTCTTGGTGTTGGTGGACATTATCCACATGTACAAAAACATGCCTTTTCTGGCAGCGAAGATGAAGTAAAAAAAAGTGAAGCAGACAACAAGGAGTGTGTGTACGAGAGATAGATACCAACAGGTGTGCTTTTGGCTAACGCATCTTTGTTTTCTCAGTAGAGCTGGATGTGAGACTCATCGGCACTGGCGACAATTGTTCGGGGCTGCTGGAGTTTAAAAATACAAGCAGCTGGGAGAGAGTTTGTGCCAGCCCATGGAATAGGAAAAATAATGAACTGGTCTGCAGGCAGCTGGGCTGTGGCTTATCTTCTCATGAGTTCTCAAAAGTTTATGTTTCAGTTTCTGGAACAGGACCAGCGATTGCTGTGTCCTGCTCATATAATGCGAATGCTCTGAAAGATTGCAAACCACAGAAATCCAACTGCACTCAACATCAGTATGCGTTTGTTATTTGCAATAGTAAGTATAACCCACCCTTATCACTTAGAACTTTTGCCTGAGACTGGGTATTCTCCCTGCTAAAATATTCTGCGAATCCTTATCATTTTAGGACCAGAAAAAATCAATACTTCACCACCGACTCGATCACTACCCACGCCAAAACCCACAGGTAAGAAATTCCATATGTCCAGTTTCCTGTAACCTGTTTGAATTCACATCCATTCTACAGAGAGAGTTGGTTTTAATTTACCACAATTGAAGCTGATTGTTAGGCAAGAAGCTGCAGGAAATCAGATGAGCCCTGAGTGAAATTAATATGAATCAGATCAAAGCAAACACTTTGTAAAGAAAGATGACAACCGGTGAAACTCACTAGTGCAGGAGGCCATGGAGTCAAACAATGTGGCAGGATTTTTAAGAGGAATGGATGGTCTTATGGTCACTCCTTATATCTGCAATGATGCCCAATAAAATGGACAGAGAGACAGACAGATAGACAGACATTTTCAATTAAATGTACACTTTAATTACATATGAAAATTCTGGTTGACAGCTATATTACTCAACAGGGACAGAGCAGTACCTCCAGATGATAGGTGGAGAACACACCCAGCTGATATCCCATATGGGTCGTGTGTAGCTGAGATGTTGTAATGAGGAAGGTGGTGGGGAGGAAATCTGCTCTCAGTGCAGATTCACTGCACTGCAAACCCAGGTTTTGTCCTCTCCTAAGGTCTTCATGGAAATCTGCACAGCTGGGGTCTGCTGGATTGACAGCTGGGGTCTGAAGACAGCAGTGGAAAGGCATGACAATGGTGTTAGTAAGTTACATGCTGTGGTTACTCTTCCATCTCTGTTCTTCTCCAGGCGCTCCCAAACTGCGACTGGCAGAGGGTAAGTTCACCTGCTCAGGGATTGTGGAGCTGTACAAGGAAGGTCACTGGGGAACAGTGGAGTCACGTCCAGAAGACCAGAAAGAGCTAGCCAGGATCATCTGCTCAAAATTGGGCTGTGGAGATCCCTTAAATGAAGGTGAAGAATTGAAAGCGGGAGGCCAGCATTTACCTGTGCATTGGACTATGGTGACACCTTGCAGTGTGGACGCTATTTGGGAGTGTTTCAACAGAACCAGACCCTCTTTGAACAAAAAGCCAGCCTCCGTCTTTTGCTCTGGTGAGTGAGATGATCTCAGGACAGTGGAGTAATGTTCCTTTTGCTTTCATAGTTTCATAGTTTCTAGGGTTGTAAGGGACCTGAACAGATCATCAAGTCTGACCCCCTGCCCTGGGTAGGAACGAGTGCTGGGATCATAATACCCCAGCCAAATATCTATCCAACCTCCTCTTGAAGAACCCCAACGTAGTGGAGAGCACCACCTCCCTTAGGAGCCCATTCCAGAGTCTGTCAGCCCTAACCATAAAGTAATGCCTCTTGATATCAAGCCTGAACCTGCTCTCAATCAATTTGTGGCCATTATTCCTTGTTATCTCAGGTGGTGCCCAGGGAAACAGAGCACCTCACCTATTTTCTGCTGGTCTCCCCTGGTGAGTTTATAGACAGCCACCAGATCCCCTCAGTCTTCTCTTGTGGAGGCTGAATAGATTCAGGCCCTTTAGTCTATCTTTGTAGGGCCTGGTCTGCTGCCTCCTGACCATGCGAGTGGCCCTCCTCTGGACCCTCTCAAGGTTAGTCACATCTCTCTTGAAGTGCAGTGCCCAGAACTGGATGCAGTACTCCAAATGCAGCCTGACCAGCACTGCATAGAGGGGAAGGATCACCTCCCTGGATCTGCTTGTGATGCATGAGAAGGTGTGGTTAGCCTTACTGACCGCTTCTTCGCATTGGTGGCTCATATCCATCCTGAAGTCAACAATGACTCCAAGATCCCTTTCAGCCACTGTGTTGTTGAGAAGGGTGTTCCCCAGCCTGTAGGTGTGATGCTGGTTCCTTCTCCCTAGATGCAGCACCTTGCACTTGTCTGCGTTGAATTCCATCCTATTCTCATCCACCCACCTCTGTAACCTGTCTAGATCTAGCTAGATTCTGTCCCTCCCCTCCAGCGTGCTCACCTCATCCCACAACTTGGTGTCATCAGCGAATTTGGACAGTGTGCTTTCCACACCCACATCCAAGTCGCTGATACAGAAGTTGAATAGCACAGGACTGAGGACTGAGCCCTGGGGAACTCCACTGCCCACATCCCTCCTCCCTTCTTTCCTCTTCCCTTCTTTAACCTTTAGTCCAGAAAGGCTGAACCATCCTGGCAGCTCAGTTATTGCTATAGTGAACAGAGTTATATATGTAAAGAGTTATGTACAGAGTGAATGTAAATTATGGAAGGAACTGAATTAAACCCTTCAAAAATGATCCTATTTCCTTTGTCCATGCTTACCTCTGTCCTTGGCTTGCCATCGGTTTTAACCTTGATCTTTTCATTTTCTCCTTCATCCTTCATTCCTGCCAAGCTGAAAGTGCCAAGATTGCCATTACTTTTCAGTACAATGGCATCCTCCCACGTTAGGCTTATGTTCAAACTTAAAAAAAAATACATTTCATGCTTTATTTTTGGTAATAACTACTCCTTATCCTGAGAAATTTCCTGCTTTGGCACTGCAAATAGTGCAGGGCAATCCTGTAGAAATATGCTTCAGGACGAAATGCAGTGTAGTGCAAATCCTCTGCGATACAATGCCATATGATGTTCCATAGAATTGCCATCTCCTGTGATACAGTACAATATAATACAGCACAGCTTTAATAATCATACTCTGTGGGTGTGTCTACATGAGACCCTGACTGCAGAATAGACTAATTAGTTCTGCGGTAAACATTTCATGCATTTACACGAGCACCTCTATTAGGCTGGAGTAAATTAATTAGCTCCACAGCAGGACAGTACCTTTAAATACAAGTACTATCCTGCTGCAGAGTTTTTTACTTCACAGCAGTGTGTGTGTAGACACTGACGCAGTTGGCTGGGGCATGAGGGTGCTTTAGTGCAGGGGCTGCCTGCCAACTAGCCCCACACTGGAGCATCCTGGTGCCCCAGCCATCCACTCTGCACCATGTTGAGCAGGGTAGAGCAGCCCTGGGCTGACAAACTGATCCCCCAGGGCCCCCTGCCAGCTGGGGCTGCTCCAACCCAGCTCAACATGCTGCAGTCCTAGGCACACGTTCAAACAGCATGCCCAGGAGCAATAAACTCTGGTGCAATAAGTGTCAGAGTTTATTGCTTCACATTAATTGCATGTGTAGATGTGCCCTATATGTCACTAATACCTTTACGTGGATTATCTCCAAGCAGTTTTTGAAGAATACTTATAATTTCCCTGTGAGGCAGGATGATTCCTGTTGTTATACAGAACAGGACTGGAGACATCAAGTGAGGTGCCCCAAGCCATGCAGTAAGTTAAGATTAAAACCCAGCTCTCCTGGTTCCCCAGCCTGCAATGGAAGCAGCAGGCCATAAAGTCACTGGAATGGGTAAAAGAATAGAAGGCTGCAGAATAAAGCCAGTTGATCCCAAAGCCTGTGAAAGGCAGCAGTCCCTGGGGTAGTATGATGGCTGTAATATTTAAAACATTAACTAAAAAGGATGAAACATTAGGCTGCCCATTCCTATTATTTGTATTAAAGTAGCACCTAAAGAGCACAGATTATATGAGGGCTCAGTTGTGCTAGGCACTGTATAGACTCTTGAGTGGGAGACAAATTCTGCCCCCAACAGTTTATGCCTAAATAGGCAGGACAGACTAAGGATAACAGGTGAAATAGGTCAAGTGAATTGCCTGAAAATAAATAGGAATTGGACTTGAGTCTCCTGAGTCCCATACACACTGGGCGTGTCTACATGCGCACTTTAATGCACATTAGCTTATTTTAATGAACATTAAAGCATCATAAAAAAACCATGCACTTTTGCTAATGTGCATAAAAATAGGCTAATGCGCCTTTTTCTAGTACCTCACAATGGAGGTACTAAATTTAATGGGCATTAGCAAAAGCGTGACACACCCACTGAACCAGGCTGCCTTTAGACAGTAATTCAGAAATCAGCCCACCATGAGGTCTCACCAGTCCCTGTTGTCTTTTTTTCAGGCTCCCAGCCAAAGGCAATGGAAAGGCTTGTAGATGGCCAGAGCCCCTGTGATGGGAACATTGAAGTCTTCCATGAGGGGAAGTGGGAAGTCCTTTGTGATAAGAATGAACACAGGCAACGTAGAGGAGAACAGATCTGCAAGGAGCTGCAGTGTGGGAACCTCTCATCCAGCGCTGAAGTCAAGGACCACAAAGTGGAGGGAATACACTGTCAGGAGGGGAGCTTCCATCTGTGTCACACCTTCCAAAGAAAGACCAAGAACTGCTTCAGAACCAGAATCGTGTGTAAGCCCACAGATAGCCAAACGTTTTAGAACGGCACTTGCTGCTTTGCATTAGAAAACAGGATTTTGGCTAGGGATGTAAATATCGTTTTAAAAATTAGTCATTTAAACTCTTCTAATTATATCAGTTAACTGTTTAACCAATAACGCATACCTACAGAGTAGCCAGCTCTGCTTGCCACAGGGTGAGACACATGCAGGCAACAAGTGGATCTCCT